TAAATAAATAAACAAACAAACAAACAAGTAAATGGATGGATGGATGGATGGGATGGATGGATGGACGGATGGACGGATGGATGGGATGAATGGGATGGATGGATGGATGGGATGGGATGGATGGGAGGAGCCATGCAAGGATGGATGTATGGATGGGATGAATGGGATGATGGATGGATGGATGGATGGATGGCTGGGATGTATGGGAGGAAGCATGCATGGATGGATCCGTGGGAGAATCAGGATGAATGGATGGACGGAAGGACAGATGGATGAATTGATGGATAGTCCCATTTCATACCTGGAACATCCACACTCTTTCTTGCAATCTGTTGCTTGTACCTTTCCAGCCATTTAAACTCAGGTACACCTATCACATGTGCTTTCTGACGATAATCTTCAAAGATAAAACAATCAGCATTTACTTTTTAATAAAACATAGCATTTCTAAACTTGAAATTATGAAGACATTTGTTTGCATTAATTTGCATTATTTTTACAAGATCACTAAAACATTTTGTACTAAGGGTGCATTTGCAAAGGTCCTACAAAATATGTTGGCCCTACCAAAAATTCCTGCCAAAGTTTGTCCCAATCAAATTAATATTTTGTTTTTGGACACATTCAAGGAATACACCATTTCACAGATCCCACGGCTCAACCTCAGCCTCGTCAGCATGTAATATATTCCTTAGAAATTGCCTACAACCTGTGAAATTTTTAAGTGTTTCAATTGTTCGTTGATGTGTAAATTCCTTTCATTACTGCAGACTGTAGTCAAATTCTAAAGAATAATTACACGCTGACGAGGCTGAGGTTGAGTAACGGGATTTGTGAAATGGTCTATTAATAATAATTGGCAAACCTGTCAATTTTGATGTTTTGTTCAAAGGTTGGAGGCCAAGACAAATTTTGGCCCGATGCAAAACAAACGCATTCACACATTTGCAAGGTATTGATGTTTGTCCCAGGTTCGAAAGGCCTCCAAAACAGGACAACAACTTCTTTAATGTTTAGTTGACCTGGACAAAATTTGGTCCGATGCAAAAAAATACATCACTTGTTCCAGCAAGATGAACAAATTCACAAAGATTAGTGTAAATGCAGGCCTAGTGCGAATGAAGGGGGTGACATTGGTGACATAGTGGCTTACCGCTCGCGGCAACCTTTGAGCCCAGACTCAGATATGTGAGTTGAGTTTGTTTGATTTGTTGTTCTGTCCTTTGCCTCGAGGGTTTTACTCTGGTTTCCTCCCTCCATAAAAATCAACTTCTGAGTTGATTGTAAAAAATAATATTGTAAACCCTAATTTACATCGTGGCAATGTATTTTTCCATGCTTCTTTGCGACTACTGAGGGGAGTACAGTACCTCCTGGTCTTACCCACTATCATACACTTACCACTTATGGCTGCCTTTAGATCTGTCACAAATCTCATGCTCTGCTCTGAGTTTTCTATCTCAAAGACATATTCAACACCATCATCTGTCAAAACCTGGAACCTAACCATCAACCCTAGAACACAATACAATGGATATTAGGATTCATACAGTGTACATGTACTACTGACAGAATGAAATTCAAGGAGTTTTCCTGGGTATTTTTCTGACCATCAACCCCACGAACACAATACAAGGGATATTAGGATTCACACTACTGACAGAGAATGAAATTCAAGGAGTTTTCCAGGGTATTTTTCTGACCATCAACCCTAAGAACAGTCAATACAAGGGATATTAGGATTCATCTACTGACAGACGATGAAATTCAAGGGGTTTTCCAGGGTATTTTTCTGACCATCAACCCTAAGAACAGTCAATACAAGGGATATTAGGATTCATCTACTGACAGACGATGAAATTCAAGGAGTTTTCCAGGGTATTTTTCCGAGTACTGGGTCAGGAATTAGTGGTCATCCAGGGGCGGCTTAGCATAATTTGATTGGGGATGGGGGGTGGGGGGAGGGAACTAACAACTGCCAAGGGCGGAAACATGTGGGGGTCAGGGGAAGGACTCACCGACAATGTTTTAAACCCACTGAGACTTTAACTTGCACAGCAAACAAGTTTTATTTTTTAGCAGATTTGTTTTAAAATATAAATTAGAATTGCAGAGGTTTTGCATCATCACTATAGGTGACCATATTAGATAGCAGAATACAATACCTAATACTCTCAGACTGTGAATAATTCATATTTATCGGTCATGTAGAATGTTTGTATTCTAACCAGTTCCGGTCATCAAACATGGCTGATGTCATATAACGGTGCACAATCTCTAATAGTTATTCTTTGGATGAAGCTTCGTCAACCACTCAGAAAGCAAGATTTAATAACAGTCATTAAATAGATTTATCAAACTCATGAATAATTCATGAGGAAAACACAACAGAAGTCACGACCGTGAAGAGTGTTGTAAATCTGATACAAAACTGTGTTCACTTGCATAAACTTTAAGTTGGAATTTCTTGGCCAAATTCACTTTAATTTTGAAAATTTTAGTGAAACACAAAGGAACTAACCTAGACGTTTGATAAGTCATATACAGTATTCATGTCCGTGTTGTATCAGATATACAATCACTCGACTACGCCTCGTGGTTGTATATCTGATGTAACACGGCCACTCATACTGTATATTATATTACAAATAAATAGCAATAAAATTAAAGGGTAATTGTAATTACCACTGCTTCGATTGAAGTCTGTATCTGTAAAAAAATATATAAAATATATCATTTTGAATTCATAAAAACCTTCCAATGAACAATAAAACAATCTTATTGACACTCCTTTTATGTTATTGATTGAATGGTTGATATACTCAATAAGCCCCTATTAAGGCTTAAAAATATATCTATAATATCTCAAGTAATAGCTACATGCAGTTGCTTTGGTGATGAAAATGGACTTGTACATTTTGATGCACTAGTAATCAGGAATCTTAATATAAAATTTAATCCAGAATTCACACTCATGCAATCACATGAGCAGAATTTACTGGATCTCTCCCTTGATCTTATGGTTTTTCTCAAGACTCTCTAGCTTTTCTCCCTCCACAAATCCCAACAGGCTAATTCTAATGATATCTGTGAGTTAGCCACACTGAATAAGAGTGCGCCCATAGCTGATGGGTAATTGTTTCAGGATTCATTTTGTGGGTTAGCCAT